TGAGTTGCAGGGCGATAGTATGGCTGCTGGCATTATTCACAAGCAATCCTTTATATAAAAAATTGATAAAGAAATAAGCTCATTTTAGATTCATGTTACAGTAAGCACAATAAATAAAATGGTCTATAACTTTTCAGATTGCATGAGCTTAACATTAGCAAAGCTTTGAGAGAAGAGTAAGTCTATTTTATTGTGAATGACCAGCGGTTCTGCTTGTGATTCTCTTTCGAAACAAGAGCAAGATGGAAATGTTTCAAAATAATACTTCAGAGGTTATTTTCTAGGGATAATAAGGAAAATTGTATGCACAGACAGTCACTTGAGAGATTCTAGGCTGACATGCTAGACTCAGCCTCTTACTGTTAACAGGAAATCAGTTTGTGAGCGTTTCAGCCTGCTGAAATATTCAGTGGTTTCAGTTTCTGTTCCGGAGAAGTGAAAGAGAAACAGTCGAGCTGTGCAGACATGGAGGAGCACACGGGGGACAGCAGGCTCTGCAGGAACTGGTGAGATCCACTGACTTCTCAACACTTTGACACCGTCTCACAGCTGCAGGCCAGGCCGAGACGCCTGCGTGGGGCCAGGTCTCTCTTGGAGCGATGAGGAGTTCAGGGGAGGGGCTGGGGAGACGCTGCTGTAGGCGAGGCAGTGTTGGAGAGGGGCGAAGGCTCTGTGAGAAGGCATCGCTCTGGGCTCAGTGGAGAGAACAAGCTTCGCTCTCCGGTGTTGGGGGCGAGCTGGCGCTCGTCTCTCAGCGCTGGGAGACAAAACTGGATCTGAGTGCGGGGGGGGTCGAGTCGGGTCGGGGGGGAGCCTAGGATTGGGAAAGTTTACATCTTGCTCCACTCTGTAACAGTAACAGAATCGGCAACCTGACGTACAGACAGCTCCCAGTACCGAAGCTTTGAGTTCGGGAAAGCTCAGGAGCAGCTGGCTGGGGGAGGTTATACAGTTTTAGAAGCACCTATTGAAAAACAAGTGTTATGGAGTACAGAATGGCAAAATTCCTGTTTCCCTGTGGCAGTCAAAGAGGGAATGATCTTCCGAGAGTGCACGATTTGGCAGCGCTAGGGGAACGAGAGCTCTATTGCACTCCTGCTCCCCTGTCAGAGTTTCAGCTGTGAGTGAAAATGTAAGAGCTGCTTACAGAGTGTGTCTTGGGTGGGGCGCACAGTGCATGCTGTGCTCCACTGGTGCATGAAAAGTCTCTGGACAGAAAGAAATGATTGTGCTCTCAGCCGCAGGCCACCTTGTGCAGGATGCAGGGCCTGACACAGATGCTTGTATAGAAGGCCAAAATTTATATCAGGGACTGGCAGAGCCAGGAGAAAAGTGAACAACTACGTCAATATGAAATCTGGCTGTTTTGGTGCTGCCAATCCATTAGCAAAAGCATATTCTGCGTGTGATGGGTCTATGGTGATAAGGAACTCTGTGCTCAGTAACCAGTTGTCAGACTTTTTAACCCCTTCACCACCCCACCCCCTCTCTCCTCTGCCCCCTTGGTCCTGTGCAGTAAGAAGGAGGTGGCCTTGTCTAACTTCGCCCTGCACGAGTCCCACTGCAAGCGCTTCCTGTGCGTGTGCCCATTCTGCGATGAGCCAGTGCCCAGGGAGCAGATGGACCAACATCGGGACACCGAGCACAAGCAGGTCAGAGAAGGGGAGGCTGCAAAACCTGCACCGCACACCAGGGGGCAGTCAAATCACCACTGAAGGCTATAATAATAATAATAATAAGAATAATTGCTTACACTTATATAGCGCTTTTCTGGACACTCCACTCAAAGCGCTTTACAGGTAATGGGGATCCCCTCCACCACCACCAATGTGCAGCATCCACCTGGATGATGCGACGGCAGCCATAGTGTGCCAGAACGCTCACCACACATCAGCTATCAGTGGGGAGGAGAGCAGAGTAATGTAGTCAATTCATAGAAGGGGATTATTAGGAGGCCATGATTAGTAAGGGCCAATGGGAAATTTGGCCAGGACACCGGGGTACACCCCTACTCTTTTCAAGAAGCGCCCTGGGATTTTTAATGACCACAGAGAGTCAGGACCTCGGTTTTACGTCTCATCCGAAGGACGGCGCCTGTTTACAGTATAGTGTCCCCATCACTATACTGGGGCATTAGGACCCACATGGACCACAGGGTGAGCGCCCCCTGCTGGCCCCACTAACACCTCTTCCAGCAGCAACCTTAGTTTTTCCCAGGAGGTCTCCCATCCAGGTACTGACCAGGCTCACACCTGCTTAGCTTCAGTGGGTTGCTAGTTGTGAGTTGCAGGGTGATATGGCTGCTATAAACCTGCACATGTGCTGTAACAGGTGTCCCCTCCTGGACTGACATGATATATATATATACACTCTTCCAACCTCCACATATCAAAACACATCAATACATATAAATATCTAAAATACACATCTTAAATATTAAATACACATAACACATGAATATTTAATCACATGTTAAATGAAATGTTAAGGCAACAATCTTCAGTTCAGGAATTTAAGGTTGAAATAGTTTAGAGAGGAAAATAATTTTGCAGGCTCCACAGGTCTGAGTAGCATTTAGCTAGTGTCTACAGAATCGCCAACTGGAACTCCCCCTGTAACACAGTAGGCCTGCAGAGCAGGAGGGTTCAGGGCCCGAATCCTAGCTCGGTTACACATACCCTCTACAGCTGTGACCCACTGCTGGGAGTCACTGGGATGGTGCTCTATACTGAGCAGCAGCTTCAGCTGACAAGATTCCTACAGATACCTATATCCTGGCACTGTAGCCAGAGGACAGCGTGTAGGTAACTCTCTACAACAGCACCCATCAGTCTTGTACAATACAGTATATTCACTGCAGAACAAGAGCCCGATGAGGCATTCCTGTGCAAGGCTGTTTTGCGTGCCTTTCAGGAGGGCCTGGGGCAGCCCAGCCCTTGTCCGAGTGGGTGTTCAGTTTCTGTCCCACTGTGGGAGAGCTCTGACAGGTGCCAGTGAGGCGCCCATCAGAGGGGCACTTCTCTGCTGCCATGCGGTTTGCTGTGAGCCCAGGAGGCTGGAACACAGGCACCGATACAGAGAGCAAGCAATCAGACTGGCGCAACAGCTTGGCCAAACCAACACACACTAGAAGCTCAGGACAGAAGTGAAAGCAGGATGTATTGTTCCATCCGGCTTGCGCTTCCTGTTATGTCATTCGCGCCACGCCCCCCGGAGGACTCATCGCGCTCAATCAACTCCCTCACATTCCAGTGCAGTCTCTAATGAAATAATCAGACACACCCTCTCCCACCTGTCTACTTAACCCAGCCTGACACACCACGCTTGTTCCTGTGTGTCTCTAGTTTTACAGATTCTGACCTTGGCTTGCTTACTGTGTCTACCAGAACATTTCCGTTCAGAGGATAGGGTCCTTAGACACGAGATCATTACACTGCCCAGTTCAACTCCTAGTGAGCTTCCTCGCGGCTATTTTCAATTGGCGCTTTATTACAAATGCGCTCATCTGTAAGCTCTTCTGCATCTTTGTACATGCTTCTGACCCCCGGCTGTGCTGGTGTCGCCCTGCCCAGGTGCGGTGCCCGCAGTGCCACGAGCAGATGGAGAAATGGCAGCTGGAAGAGCACCAGGTAAAGGAGCAGCC